GCAATGCAGAATACCAGCAGCTTTAGAGGAATACAAGAAATCCCAGCAATAGTACATTATACTATATGTTCTATTGCTGGGATTTGTAGTACTCTGTAGCTGCTGGTATTCTGCATTGCACTGTATATAATGCACTATTGCTGGGATCTGATGTATTCCTCTATAGCTGGTGTTATTGGAGAGGACGGGTATGATGCTGGAATGGAGTGCAGGAATAGAAAGGACAGGTATGATTGTGGAATGGGGTGCAGAGGATGGGTATGATGATGGAATGGAGTGCAGGGATGGAGAGGACAGGTATGATGGTGGAATGGAGTGCAGGGAAGGAGAGGATGGGTATGATGGTGGAATGGAGTGCAGGGATGGAGAGGACGGGTATGATGGTGGAATGGAGTGCAGGGATGGAGAGGATGGGTATGATGGTGGAATGGGGGGGCAGACGTTGGGGATGATGGGGGAATGGGGTGCAGGGATGGAGAGGATGGGTATGATGGTGGAATGGAGTGCAGGGATGGAGAGGACGGGTATGATGGTGGAATAGGGTGCAGGAATAGAGAGGACGGATATGATGGTGGAATGGGGTGCAGAGGACGAGTATGATGATGGAATGGAGTGCAGGGATGGAGAGGATGAGTATGATGGTGGAATGGAGTGCAGGGATGGAGAGGACAGAATGATGGTGGAATGGAGTGCAGGGATGGAGAGGATGGGTATGATGGTGGAATGGGGGGCAGACATTGGTCATGATGGTGGAATGGGGTGCAGAGGGTGGGTATGATGGTGGAATAGGGTGCTGAGGACGGATGGGTATGATGGTGGATTGGGGTGCACGGTGTTGGGTCCCCAGGTTCCAGGCTCCAGGGTGCTCGGGGCACTTACTGTCTGAACATTCCCTCCATGTCTTTGATCTGCTGAACTCCTTGAACTTGGTGTAGGGGTTGAAGACACTCATGCTGGGCTGCTCCCTCTCTCCGTCCTCCGGGTCCCCCATCCGCAGCCGCCGGTTCAGCCTGGATGCCAGCTCGTCCTCAGCCATCCTCTCCGTCCCCCGGCTGACACCTGTCGCTCTCACATCCCCGGAACCCGTCATGTGACCGCATCGGTCCGGCTAGATGTAAGGAGCGCCGAGATTGGAGGAGAGCCAGGGGCCGGACCGCGGCATGTGCGGTGCCGTGCGCGTGTGTGGAGCAGCGAACAGGCAATTTAATAGATAGCCGACTAATCGACGATGGAAAACGTTGACAACGTTTTCCATCGTCGATTTTTAATCGACTAAATCGAATAGTTGTTGCAGCTCTAATTGGTACCAGTGGGCACAATAATAACCCTCAGAACTGGTGCCCGTAGACCCAATAAAAACCCTCAGCATTGGCTTCTGTGGACTCAATAATAATGCCCCGGGATTTGTGAAAGTAGACACATTAATAACCCCCAGCATTGGGATCCGTGGACGTAATAATAACCCCTTAGTATTATAACCCCAGACATACGGTATTGGATGTAAAGGGAGCAGAGGTAGGTGCCATCCTTAAACATGCCTGAAATGAAGTCCCTGACTTGTTTAAGACCAGTCTGTGTCTGTTTTATATTGGGCCTTATTGCTTTAGCTTTGTATTGGGTATGATGGTGGAATGGGGTGCAGGGATGGAGAGGATGGGTATGATGGTGGAATGGAGTGCAGGGATGGAGAGGACGGGTATGATGGTGGAATAGGGTGCAGGAATAGAGAGGACGGATATGATGGTGGAATGGGGTGCAGAGGACGAGTATGATGATGGAATGGAGTGCAGGGATGGAGAGGATGAGTATGATGGTGGAATGGAGTGCAGGGATGGAGAGGACAGAATGATGGTGGAATGGAGTGCAGGGATGGAGAGGATGGGTATGATGGTGGAATGGGGGGCAGACATTGGTCATGATGGTGGAATGGGGTGCAGAGGGTGGGTATGATGGTGGAATAGGGTGCTGAGGACGGATGGGTATGATGGTGGATTGGGGTGCACGGTGTTGGGTCCCCAGGTTCCAGGCTCCAGGGTGCTCGGGGCACTTACTGTCTGAACATTCCCTCCATGTCTTTGATCTGCTGAACTCCTTGAACTTGGTGTAGGGGTTGAAGACACTCATGCTGGGCTGCTCCCTCTCTCCGTCCTCCGGGTCCCCCATCCGCAGCCGCCGGTTCAGCCTGGATGCCAGCTCGTCCTCAGCCATCCTCTCCGTCCCCCGGCTGACACCTGTCGCTCTCACATCCCCGGAACCCGTCATGTGACCGCATCGGTCCGGCTAGATGTAAGGAGCGCCGAGATTGGAGGAGAGCCAGGGGCCGGACCGCGGCATGTGCGGTGCCGTGCGCGTGTGTGGAGCAGCGAACAGGCAATTTAATAGATAGCCGACTAATCGACGATGGAAAACGTTGACAACGTTTTCCATCGTCGATTTTTAATCGACTAAATCGAATAGTTGTTGCAGCTCTAATTGGTACCAGTGGGCACAATAATAACCCTCAGAACTGGTGCCCGTAGACCCAATAAAAACCCTCAGCATTGGCTTCTGTGGACTCAATAATAATGCCCCGGGATTTGTGAAAGTAGACACATTAATAACCCCCAGCATTGGGATCCGTGGACGTAATAATAACCCCTTAGTATTATAACCCCAGACATACGGTATTGGATGTAAAGGGAGCAGAGGTAGGTGCCATCCTTAAACATGCCTGAAATGAAGTCCCTGACTTGTTTAAGACCAGTCTGTGTCTGTTTTATATTGGGCCTTATTGCTTTAGCTTTGTACACAAAGTTCTTTCTTAGAAATGTCATGTGAACCACTGGAAAGAGTTCAGAAGTGGATTTGTTCGTTGTTATTTACAGGTTGTTTTAGTCAATCATTGCGCTGGCCGTCTGCACCACTGAATGCAATATGAGACCCAAGATATTAGTGTGAAGAACATGTCAGCGTGCTAAAGAGAAATAGAAAGCCAGAACAGAGCTGTCTCCAGGCCTGTAGTTGTATTAGAGGTTTTTATGCAGGACTGCAAAAGCTGGAAATGTTGACAAAGCAGCACCAAAATGCTTTTTATTTTTTGGCTATCCTCTATCATTGAACATTTGTAAATATATCTGTGGCAGGTTAGGTAAGGTGTGGGAATTAAAATATTATTAACCAAATTGACATTCATATGTTTTATGGTCCCTTGTCATTACAGGGTGTATTTAATAATAAAGCACAATGAGCACATGCATCAATTCATTTTTTATAGGCTTCAAGTAGTTGCATGCTGATGCCGTCTGGAAGGTTTATTGAACACTATGGGCAGAGCAGCCTCTATGTACCTGACTGATGCATGGGCATGTATCATCCATTTATTATATACTCATGCAGTATTACCACCTGATAGATTACTGTGTGTTATAAAATTAGCTTTGCATAGATACCAGATTTGACAGACCTGTGATTTATACCTAGCGTTGCCACCTGTCCAGGATTCATCCGGACAGTGCGGGTTTTGAATGCTGTGTCCGGGTTTATGACAGCAGAAACCCGGACACAAGATGTGAGGCAGGCATGGCAACCAAAATTATGATTGGGGGTTCCGGCCCACCACTGAAAATAGTCTCAACTGTAATATTTACATATGAATGGTAGCCCTATTTTGATATAAATAAGCCATGACTCATTCTGCCAAACAAATGTCCGTTCGTCGCTAGTGTTCAGGTTTCGCTTGAGGAAAAGGTGCCAACCCTATATATACCTCCCCCAGAAGGGGTAGTATGCGTCTCTGGCCCTCTATACCGCCCAAGCCCAGAGTGTTTAGTATGCCTATGAACAGTATTTCCTGAGGCATCTATATATATATTCTCATTATTAGGTCCAAAGTTATGAATACTGAGTGAATGTTTGAAACTTATTTTATTGGCAGGGTGAGTTGAGGGCCATCTTTGGGGATGAACTGCAATCTGTCCAGTGTTCTGGTGGGTTATCATTTTATGACCTTCTTATTAGGAGTGTACGACTAAAACCATAAAACAGCCAGGCCAGAAAAAAACAACTTGGGTACTGAGCAGACTGTGGAATGTGAAGGATTTTCTTTTGAAGATCATTTAACCAGGAAACACCTATGTTTAATCTCTATGTGATTTAATCATATCCAGAAGTGGCTTATTTCAGCAAACTGAGGGGACAAGGGATTTCCTAATTAGTCTTGGGGTGCCCAGAACTTATTACGGACACACGCTCCACAGATGTATAGAAAAGCAGACTTATAGTTGTGATTCACTGTGTCTCTGTGTAGAGGGTCCATCTTGGTAGAGGCAGGGCTTTGCTTCCTCATGTCAGAGCCTACAGCCAGGAGAACAGTAAGCAGCAGTGCCTAAGATGATCTCACGCTGCAGATATACAGCTATGAGTGTCCAGTCACACTCACATACCAGGAAGTAAACTCTGAGTTTTCAAGAAGAAATGAAAAGTGAATAAAGTAACATTTCTAGATGTTCCCTATAATAAAGCAAATCTTCATTTTATAAAACCAGATCCACTTTATCAGCCAGTGTTAGATCAATGATCAATCATGAAGTGTGTGTGCAGCCTCCTGCCAGCGATATTTATAAAACCTGCAGAGCACAGCACAATAGCAATGTGTTCTGCTTGTATAACCTATTACCTACTTCCCATCAGTCAACTCCAGATCGTCCCCCGGCCTAGGGAAACCCTGCTCTGCTCCCGGCGGCGGCACTTCCCCGGGGGGAGCGCGACGTAGGTAAAATGAACAAAATCCAACCGCCACATTTATTTCACCGTTATTTACATCTATATTTATGTTTTTTATTGTTGTTTTACAAACAAAAAAAACAATTCTTCGCTTTCGGTTAGCGTAATGAAAGCAATACGTTCTTAGGTGACTTACTAGATTCCCCCCTGCGCCAGTGGACTATGCTGCCCGGTGACGTCACCAGATGTCCGACGTCAGGTTGTTCTGATGAATGTGGGGCGTGGCTCGGTGACTAAGAAGCCGGTATCAATAGGAAAGGGTCATAGTGATTCTTCCGTAGACTGTGTGACTTTCAGCGGGCGCTGTGATCTCGGGGGCCAGGGGTATCTTCCTTTGTTGTGAACACTGCGGGATGTATCAGAGTGCGGCGGGTAGGCTGTGCTCGGCGCTGAAAGACGTGCCCGCACTGTGCGCCTCCTCTCTGCGGCAGCAGCCACACCACTCCCCGG